GAGTAGGGGAAGGGAGCAGCACCAAGGAGCGGGCCGGCAAGAGGAGGGGCAGGGCCCACGGAGCGAAGGCGGAAAGCCAGGGCGCGGCCTTTTTGGGAGTCCGGCAAAGGCGGAGGCGAGGAAAGACAGAGAAGGAACAGATCAGGAAATAGACGAGAACAGGAAGAGGGGAGACAAGGAAACAAGACGGTGATAGTGAAAAGGGAGTAGGAGAGAAAGGGGCTGAAGAGACGAACATGGAAGATAATTGAGAGAGAGAAGAAAGTTAGAGGGAAAGAGCAAAAGGATGAGAAAGGCGGGAGCAGAAAGGAAAGGGAGGAAAAGAGGGAGAAGACGGGTGGGGGAAGGGAATTTTTGGAACAGCTGAGCAAGGAGACGGGCAGGGAAGGAAAAGGGGGGCTGGGGCGGCGAAGGGGAAAGAGGAAACCAAAAAGGGAGGAAAAAAGGGAGGGAGAGAATAAGGTATCTCGGCAGAGGACGGGGGAGCATGGGGGCAGGGAAGCAGACCGGAGGAAACAGTCAGACAGAGGCAGAGGGAGGGTGGAAGAAAGAGCACGCAGAGCAAACGCGCGCCCCCGGAACCGTGGGGAAGAAGGAAGAAGAAAGAAGAGGGGGGGCAGCATGACAGAGGGGGAGAGCAAGGGCGGGAGAAGAAGAAAGCGAAGGAGAGGGAAAGAAGGAGTAGGGATGGAGAAGGAGGGAAGAGAGCGGGGAGGAAGACAAAAGGGGAGACCATCGACGGAAGAAAATGGAAGGGAGACAGCGGAGAGGAACACAGGGAAGAAAGAAAGGAAAAAAAAGAAATGGAAGAAAACTAAGTAGGACAATAGAGAGACGAAAGCGGGGAAGGGACACGATCCACGCGCCGAAAATCCGGAAGAAAAAGGCACGTATTGCCCATGGCGGACGCCCAAATGGGCCGATATCCTGGTTCTAATCAAGATTGCGGAGTTGCGCCTCCTCTAGAAAGCCAGGCTCAGCCTGGAGAGGGAACGGAAAAAGCCAAGGGAAGCCGGGAGAAGACGACGCCAGAGGAAAAGACAGGCCACCGAAGGGGGCCAAAAGCCGAGAAAAAGGCCAAGGCGGAGAGGCGGGGAGAAGCAGGCCCCTGACGGCAGACGAAGAAGGTCGAAGAATAACGAAAAAGCTTATCTATGCACGAAATTTTTCCATTTATCCAAAATCATTAAGATATTCCTTTCTAAATTCCTCATTAATCCTAAATTTAAAATTTCTTATCCCTATTTTCTATATATGTATTCAATTTCTCAATCCTTCCTTTAATCTCTCCTTTGTGAGACGAACGAACACTCGAGAAGTGAGATGGAGAGTAACACACAGACCAAATGAAAAGCACTGAAGTGCAAACCCTTGGCGAAGTAGCTCGCAGAGAGTCTGACACGGGGCAAGCGGACCCGGTGGAGGTAAGCCTGTGCTAAATATAAGCGCATGCGCATTATCCGCCAGCGATAAAATGGCGACTACCCATACAATGCTGGAAGCGCTCTAGCTTTGCAACGGAGCATTTTCAAAAACCGTTCAACATTTCTGACTTTCATTGCCCGTTAAGTAGGTCGTATCCTTTGTGAGACGAACGAACACTCGAGAAGTGAGATTGAGAGTAACAGACAGACAGACACACACACACAAACCTAACTACAGTAACCCTCGCTGCGCATGCGCGCCGATGGTTTAACCATCGATCATCAACATACCCTGGGTTTACAGGAGTTTAACACAACACGCACACAAAAAAATAAAAAAATAATGGAACATTGAGAGACATAGTCCGGGGTTTAGGTGAGAACGGCAAGTCTGGTGAGAGGCAAAGACAGCGCTGTCGGCAGCACGAACCAAGGGGGCTACCCATCCCGCCATGACATCCAACAGATGCCACGTGTTCGTGTCTAGCAGGGCTGAAGTCACTCATGTTGACTTGCCTGTAACCTCATACCACCGTAGATCAGGGTTGCGGGGGCGATGCAGAGGTGAGATACCATCACAGACTGTCGGCAACACGAACCAAAGGGGCTACCCATCCCACCGTGACGTCCACGATACAGACGCCACGTGTCCGCGTCTAGCAGCTGCCTGTTGCTCGAAATCCCCGGTAGGCACCCCACACCCGTCAGAGGGTCTCCCACGCCATACACACGAACAAAACAGTGTCAGTCACAGAGCTAAGGCATAGAAAGACGCCTTAGAAAATACAGCAGTCGAGCCGCCATCTCAACGACACGTGCTCAACGAGCACGTGCTCGTTGATAGATGGCTCGTTGATAGATACCACAACCCCTCGCTGCGCTTGCGCGCCGAGGGTTAACTATCTACATACCTACAAAACCCTTGTTCTACTTGTTCATGGTAGCTACTTGATATATGCACATAGCTTATCGTATCATCTCCATCATAATGAAAAGCAGTAAAGTGCAAACCCTCGGCGAACTGCGCATGTGCGGTACCACTAATTGATGGGTTGGGCTTTTTATGCCTTTACTCGTGGTATCCCGCTAGTAGCTCGCGGAGAGTCTGACACGGGCTAGCTACAGTAGTATATAGCATGCAGGAGTTTGTTGTGCCTTCAAGACACACAGAGCGAACGGACGCGGTCCGGGTAAGCCTGTGCTAATTTACATATTGGCTTGTTCACTTGGTTTTCACGCCATAACTTTAAAACACAGTAGTTTTACGAAAATGAGGGACGTCGTACGTCGTGTAAGTGCGCATGCGCGACTTCATTTGGCAACCATGGATCGTCAGTCTACAGAGGATGCCTTTCGTCGTCGAAGAGAGAGGGAAAGACAACGTCGTGCCCGTGAGACTCCTGAGCAGAGAGAGGCTATGCTTTCTCAACGCCGACTGCGTGATAGGGAACGGCCAAGGGAACGCCGCGCCGCCGAAACAGCGGAAGAAAGGGAAGCACGACTAGCGAGACGTCGTGTACAACATAGAGCTAGACGCGCTGCAGAATGATGGGGAAACGGAACAGGCCAGGCTCACACAGCTCCGAAACTACCAGGCAAGACGAATTGCTGCCGAGTCCAGCGGGGAGAGAGAGGCCCGCCTGGAACAGGTAGCTAGCTACGCAGGAATCAAGAACAGAGAATTGCTGCTGAGGCCAGCGGGGAGAGAGAGACCCAGCCTACAGACAACAACCGATTGCCTCAGAGACTCCACAAGAGACTGAAGCAAGACGTCAGCGTGACCGACAAAGTCACATGCAGCAGGCAAGTACTGCCACTTCAGCCTCAACTTCACCAGCCAATTGTCCAATCAAACTTTGAAGTACTTTCAACACCTGTATACACATTTCTTGGTTGGATCCCTCCTGCTCGCCAACAATGGTTGTCATCGCAACGGGCCGATTTTTCTATTTGTATACGACCGACCGTCTGCGTCGTGGTGGTACGTCGTACGTCGTGTAAGTGCGCATGCGCGACTTCATTTCGCAACTAACTGTAGCAACCATGGATCGTCAGTCTACAGAGGATGCCCTTCGTCGTCGAAGAGAGAGGGAAAGACAACGTCGTGCCCGTGAAACTCCTGAGAAGAGAGAGGCTCGGCTTTCTCAAACCAAAGAGAACGTCGCGCCCGTGAGACTCCTGAGCAGAGAGAGGCTCGGCTTTCTCAACGCCGACTGCGTGATAGGGAACGGCCAAGGGAACGCCTCGCCGCCGAAACAGCGGAAGAAAGGGAAGCACGACTAGCGAGACGTCGTGTACAAGATAGAGCTAGACGCGCTGCAGAATCAGGGGAAACGGAACAGGCCAGGCTCACACAGCTCCGAAACTACCAGGCAAGACGAATTGCTGCCGAGTCCAGCGGGGAGAGAGAGGCCCGCCTGCAACAGGTACTTACGCAGGAACCAAGAACAGAGAATTGCTGCTGTGGCCAGCGGGGAGAGAGAGGCCCGCCTACAGCTGGTTCGACTTAACAAACAACAACGGATTGCCTCAGAGACTCCACAAGAGACTGAAGTAAGACGTCAGCGTGACCGACAAAGTCACATGCAGCAGGCAAGTATACTGCCACTTCAACCTCAACTTCACCAGCCAATTGGTCCAATCAAACTTTGAAGTACTTTCAACACCTGCATACACATTTCTTGGTTGGATCGCTCCCGCTCGCCAACAATGGTTACCTAGTTATGTAGAACTAGGTACCGTGTACGTTGGTGTGCAAGGTGTCCCTCTACGTTTCATAACAGTCTATATATGCCTGCGTGTTGTTGCGTATTTCCGCTCTGCGTCTTGATCGATATATTGACTAAATACGTCTAAGCACATTATCTGCTGTGCATTATTAACCCTCGGCGCGCATGCGCAGCGAGGGTGACGGTAGTTGGGTCTGTGTGTCTGTCTGTGTGTCTGTTTGTTACTCTTCATCTCACTTCTCGAGTGTTCGTTCGTCTCACAAAGGATACCACCTACTGAGGCACCAGAAGATGCAACGCAGGGCGTGTATCCCCTCTCGCATGCTATCTAGTAGTGTAGTCAGACTCTGCGCGAGCTGGTAAGAGACCACGAGTAACAGCAAAAATTAAACCCAGCCCATCAATGAGTGGTACGGCGCATGCGTTTACTTACACGTGCGCGTCACAGTGTGTCGAGGGTTTGCACTTTTCATTAACCCTCGGCGCGCATACGCAGCGAGGGTTACAGTAGTCGTTCTGTCTGTCTGTCCGTCTGTCTGTCTGTCCGCGCGTGTTCTAGCACTACAGGCTACGAGGCGGCCAATGAGTGCCACCAACGGGTTGTGAACGACGAGAAGATTGATATAAATGTGGCGATTTTCCCGAAACGTCTGCGTTCCAGAGATATGGCGTGAAAACAAGCGAAAAAGCCAACGCGCGGTCGATCGCGCTCGCGCCCTCTCCTGCAGGCTAGCTTATAGCTATAGCGCGCGCGCGTAATGTCAATCAATCGCCGGAGCAACTCGCTAGTGTAGCTAGGTTTGCACTTTAGTGCTTTTCATTAGTTTAGTGTTTGCTGTTCCTTATACTTGTAGTACACATTCTCCACTAGCATCAGCTGTGAGTCTGCAATCTCGTCTCTTTCTCTTCCCTTGTACCACCTTCCAATTCCAGCAGACTGGAGGATGCTGGGACCTCGGTTTCTCAAACATGGGTAGATGAGTAGCTCATTCAGTGGAATATTATACGTAATGAACGAAGTTGGTGTAAATGCACCTTTTAATGCAGTCTGTACACAGTAGGGTAGACTTTCTGAATGAAAATTACTGTCCAGGATATTACATGATTCATGAACTGAGTGTATTGGTGTGAATAGCAAAGAAATCACCAGTATGACCAGAAAAACTCTCCAGGTCTTAACATCCTGCACTTGCTCTGTGGTGAAAGGTCCTCTTTTGACTTGCCATAGTCCAGTCTTGTTGGCTGTTCATTTTCGTATAAAATTACTTACGTACACATACCTGCACAACGCTTGTTCTACTTGTTCGTGGTACTTGAAATATGTACGGAGCTTTTCGTATCATCTCCATCATACACTTGCTTTCAGAAGTCCCTAACATAACCAGCAAGAGTGGGAACATGGTTGCTCTTAGCTAAATGCAATTAAATTGCACTTATGAGGGAGTCCAGCAGCATCATTTTTAGCAGGCTGTCAACAATTCGTGCTATACACAAGAGACAAACACTGTACTATTATAGCTATGTGTAGCTACAGTTTACTTGTAACATAATACAAAAACTCCACACTGGTTTATCCCGTTTAATTTTCTTGTTCTTGTTCTATGTACTTGTGGTATACTTCTTCCACTAAATTCTGAGATCTAGTTATTTCTCTCTCTTGCCTTGTACCATCATATGACCAAGCCCAGTAGAGCAGATGACACCACTGCCAATACTAGTGTGCTCAGGGAGAACCAGATACCACATGTACTGGTGTGAAGCATTGGAACCATTTATTTAGGCATAGTTATTACCCTCGGCGCGCATGCGCAGCGAGGGTACTGTAGTTGGGTGTGTGTGTCTGTCTGTCTGTGTGTCTGTTACTCTACATCTCACCTCTCGAATGTATGTTCGCCCCAGAAACGATACCATCTACCCAACGGGCGATGAAGGTCAGAAAATAAAGGCGGTTTTCTCTGATAATGCTCCGCTGCAAAGCTAGAGCGCTTCCGCCATTCTGCGGCTAATACGTAGTCGGCCATTTTATCGCTGCGGAAAACGCGAATGCGCTTATATTTTCAACAGGCTTTAACCTCGACCGGGTCCGCTTGCTCTGTGTATCTTGAAGGCACAAGAAGTCATAACGAAGGGCGTGTATCGACTCTCGCATACTATCTACTACTGTAGCTAGCCCGTGTCAGACTCTCTGTGAGCTATTAGGGGGAGACCGCGAGTAAACGCATACTAATAGCAGCCCAGCCCATCAATTAGCGGTACCGCGCATCCCCATTTCGCCGAGGGTTTGCACTTTAGTGCTTTTCATTGGGTCTGTCTGTCTGTTTGTTTGTCTGTTTGTCTGTTAGTCTACATCTCACTCCTCGAAAGTCTGTTCGTCCCAGAAACGATACCATCTACCAAACGGGCGATGAAGGGACCACTGCCAATACTAGTGTGCTCAGGTAGAACCAGATACCACAAGTACTTGTGTTAAATGTGTCAAACCATCTTTGACTCAACGCAAATTGAAAAAATTTTCCAATAATAGCATACACAGTTTCGAGAGTTAAAAAACTCCCATCAGTAAACCATTCTTTGTGTATGGTCCTTGAGCACAAACAAATTCGACGCTGGATTTCACTGGAATATAAGCAGTCAATCCTAGAATGCAGTTAAAAGGGATGCCAATTGCCAATTCAGAGTTACTTTCAATAGGATCTTTACACAGGTGAGTGCTGCAGCTCCAATTCCAGCAGACTGGAGGATGCTGGGACCTCGGTTTCTCAAACATGGGTAGATGAGTAGCTCATACAGTGGAATGGAAAACATAATAATTGAAGAAGGTGTGGAGATAAAGCGTAAAAAAAAACAAATTTGACAGTTGGTTTCAGGTGGTTCATTATGGGCAGATAGTTGAGGCGTCTTCAATCATAAAAATAAAAAATTATCCCAATGACAGTTACAATTCTCCAGAAGGTCTTAACATCCTCCACTTGTTCTGTGGTGAAAGGTCCACCATATTTGGACTTGCCATAGTCTAGTCTTGTTGGCCGTTCATTGACCCTCGGTGCGCATGCGCAGCGAGGGTTACTGTAGTCGTTCGTGTCTGTCTGTCTGTCTGTCTGTCTGTCTGTTACTCTCAATCTCACTTCTCGAGTGTTCGTTCGTCTCACAAAGGATACGACCTACTTAACAGTCAATGAAGGTCAGAAAGTTCGAACGGTTTTCTCTGAAAATGCTCCGTTGCAAAGCTAGAGCGCGAAAAAGCTAATATTCAAAACCGCAACGGACGGGACGGCTTGCCGCGGTCGTGCTCTGCGTACTTCGGAGGCATACACAGGGCGTGTATCGCCTCTCGCATGGTTGTTGTTTCTGACACAGGTATGTTCTCCCTGCATATTGAGACGACTGAACCAACAATGGAGGCCAGCCACATTGCCGTGAGTGTGAAGCAGACAAGTTTATATTTGCCCACAAACACACTTGCTAGAAGACCTATAACAGGGAGTGACATACAAGAAAGTATTACAATTCCTATTGGTACTTTCCACTGCTTCATCCAAAGAAGAGAAAACTATCTCCATCTTCTCCTTTCTCAAATTGTACTGAGAACCAGACTGAACACTGAATGATGAACTGCCACGCAAGGAGAAGTAAGAGGCTACTTGAGCCAATGCCACGAAATTGCAACTTCATAAACCACCTCTTATAATATTCATAATTCTGTACGTTTGATGCTGATTCTGCCAATGGTTTGTCCAAAATAGAACAGGATTCTTTCAGAATTCTTTTGGCACCGAAACTGGTTGCCATTATTTTTTGCAAAGGAAACTAACGCACAATATCTAGCCACTGATATGCTACTGAACTTTACACCAATGAATGCACATGCTTCTTTAGCTTCATTCATATACACGAGTGTTCTTAAAAAACGTTATATCGAAACTTAGATGAGAGCATACGGTATTTCTGGTCAACACTTTTCTAACGTATTTTAGGAAAATTCTGTCCATAGCAGAGAAATGAACACGTTTTGAAAATTGAAAAGCAGCATGTTCTATAATATACTACACTTTACAGCTACGAATGCACACTCTGCTTTTCGTATTAATTCATCTCTCTGCTATACACAGGATTTTCCTTTTGATGAGTGCATAGGTATTTATGGTCAAAACTTTTCCATTTCAGGATTATGATTAATCAGTTCATATTTCATTGACTTAATGTGTTTGTGCATGTCGTGTTGTCTAAAATACAGGAAACACCTTCCCAATATGAAAACAGTGGGGCCCTGCTAGAGCAACAACAGGCTATGACATTTCCATGAGTATTGCAGACTGAGAAGGAAGTTCATTTTCTGCTGCACAGAATCAGAAGGGATGCTGATTGTATATAGAATGGTTGGAGAACGGTGGCATTTGTTTGCATGCCATTGGCACCTTACAAACATGCACTCAAACACATACTCTCTTTCCCATTCATAACTACTTCCTGCAATGGTTTCTAGATACTACTTCATGTGATTGGATAAAGCGCTATAGTATATAGGTGTGGTGTAAAGTTTTTAATCTTGTTAAAACTAAGGCAAAACAGACAGACACGGCATCTTTGAATTCTTTGATGTGCTTTTGCTTTACCTGTGATTATTTTATTAATCCATGGCACGCATGAGCATCGAGGGTTACAGTATGTTCGTCTGTGTGCCTACGATTATTCTGGCACTACAGGCTACGAGGCGGCCTATGAGCGATGCCAGCAGCTTCAGGGCTACGAAAGCATGAAAACTAAAAAGGCGATTCTCCTCAAAAGACTGCATTCCAGAGATATGGCGTGAAAACAAGCGAAATAGTCCTGCGCGTACGTATTATTTTACTAGGAATGCGTACGCGCATATTTTGCCTCGCGCCTGCCAGCCAATGCGTAAACAGTCCGACTGAGGCCGCTCGTGCACGCGCTCTACTGACTGCGCACGGCGGAAGATAGACTTCCTACGAACGACGGAAGTTGGCATTCCTAAGCGTGACTAATTGACATTCTTAAGCGTCACGAACGTACGCATATCCAACCAGGAGTAGTTGCCTCACGCTAACGCGCTCGGCACTTATTATTACTGGTGGAAATGTTGAATATTGTTGGCGAGCGGGAGCGACCCCAACTTGGGATTTGCCCGCGATGTTCGGGCTGCACAACGTGCCGTCAGCGCACAGCTTTCCTTTCGTGAAGCAAGACAGATCTACCTGTCGCCGTTACATGCGTATTGTACATTGGCAGAACGGTGAGCAGGTGAGCAGAACGGTATATACTTACCTTACGCTTTCAGCTCGTCAGTCGCGGTCCACCAGGCAGTGGCATGCAGCAATATGTGCACGAGCAATCCTAGCGTATTTGCAAGTTGCACCTTGGAACCATGAAGATTGGGAAGAGGTACAGCCTCGGTCAGTCACCGAAGGTTGCAGCGCATGCCGTCGAATGGAGGAGAGTTCTCTCGCTGGCTAGATCGATCGGCACATATCGCGAGGCACCGTGTGTGAAAATGTGTTATAATTTGGAAATAATTCGAATAAAAAGAAGCGCGTACAAAGCCGCGCATGCGCACTTACACGACGTACGACGTACGATTACAGAAAATTCGACCCGAACGAACGACTAGGTTGGCTCGCTCCCGCTCCCCGCTCGCCAATGAGTGACGATTTCGAACATACCATAGACCTGTAAACATCTATGTTATCGTGTGATACTTTAGACCAGTCAATACGATTAATGTGATTACAAGCAGAAGTGTGAGAAGACTGAAGAGAGAGTGAGGAGTACTGAATGTCGGAGTGAAAAAACAACGGACAATGATCAGATACAACAATATCTGTGTATGAAACATGAATATCAGAAACCAGAGGAGACGAGTATTTGGAACAGACAACATGGTCAATCCACGAACGAACAAGACCATCATCTCTTTAATAAGTGTAATTCACAGAACTGGCAAAAGACAAATCACAAACAACAAGATCTAATTCCAACACAAAATCATCCAACAAATTATTAACATGGGAACCACCACGACCAAAATCAACGTTAATATCACCAGCAAAACAGACACCATCACATGGGTTAGAATCAATGAAGCTTTCAACAAGTTCACACAGAGTGTTAAGATAATCTGTAGCTGAGTATACAGCAGAAGGCATGTAGCTATACAATTGAACCACAAGAATTGTGAAATTTTAAAGCACAAAATCTATCAGAGCATGACACTAAAGGAGTACAACAAGATGCGAGAGATTTCCTGTAGAGGATTGTGCAACCACAAAAGGGACGGCCAACCAATAAAGTTGAATCATCCATGCCACTACCAGCAACATACAAAAAGTCTAAAACTTAACTTATGAAGATCATTAATCAACCAGTGCTCCTGAATAAAGCACAAATCAAGGGAATCAATGATACGTTGTAAAGTAAGTAAACCACTATTCCACCCCCTACAATTAAATGTACAACACCGTAGCGGAGCCATTAAGGAGTATCAGCTTGTCCCTGAACAATCGTATGGAAGAGTGTTGGAAGATGGCTGGAGAGGAAGAACAAGAAGAGGTTACTGGTGACAGTGCATGAGCCGAGTCAAGAAAGGAAGGAGGGCCAGAAACCTCAGTGACCTGATTTGCAGTGGAAAGAGGAAGTGATGGAGAAGCAGATTCACCTGCAACCAAGAAGCCACATTGCTCTTTCCAGCAGCAGAGGAAGAAGCTCCGGATTGATGAGAACGAAGTTTGTGATCGGGAGGCACATCTTCACGCAAAAAGGCAAGGGATTTTAAAACCTCTGAGGTTTCTCTTGCGAAGTAAGATTAACTTACAATCCCAAGGAGTTGAAAGCTTCACCAGAACTGGGCAAGGGCGAGGGGAACCCTCAGAACTGGGAGGCTTAGGAGGTTTCCCTAACCTGAACACATCCCTCATTGGAACAGGTTTTAAAAAAATAAATTCCAGAACTTCATCAACAGTGTTCCTTGTTTCAACAATTGACCTAGACTCTGGAAGACCAAAAACAATAATAATTATTTGAATCATGGGTGTCACGTTGCACTGGTGACCTAAAGGCACTCCTGCTCTGTATCTGTGAAGGTGGTGACTTTGGTGGCAAAGGAGCACCGGAAGAGACAGCAGAGGCATAGGTACCACCCTGTAAAGGCTTCCCAGAATGAGGTACAGATTGTCTCCACCGTTTTGCCTTTTTTCCTCCAAGTGATTCAAACTCAGCTGGTGTATACCATGAACCATTTACCAAAACTACTTCCCTAAAACTTTCTTTGACTCATCCAACAGATCGAGGTAAAGCTGGCCAACAACATTGCAAGAATATAGAAACCAAGATTGTCCCACATTAGAGAGGGTTTTAACTTTTCAAACCACTATCATTGCCCTTAGAAGCAAACAACGACAGCAACAAAGGGAAAAACAACAACAACAACTAGACCAAATTAAACTGCACCTCAGAATAGTCTGCTCCTCACACCGGCACCTGGACTGGACCGGTCGTCTGCAAGACGATGACGCTCGGCAGTGTTGGCTACCAACGCTATAATAATTATTATAGCTAGCTAGCGCTGATACCGAATAGTGGCATATTTTCGCTGGTGCAAAATTTTGATCGCCCCACCGGATGCTGGCGCGCTGACATCGTGAGAGTTTTTGCCCGAGCATAGGCATGATTTCGAAGCGTGAGGCAGGCAAGCGAAGCGAGTGTGTCTAAAGCCAATATCGGCATGGCTTACGTCGACCAGGTTTAGCCCGCTCAGCGCATAGTGGAGGGATGTGTGTGCAGTCCAGCGTTACGCTCTAACCGCTCGCTACCCACTGATGCAGCTAGCCTGTGTTAGGGCGAGAAACTGGCTCCGTCTGACGACTCATGGCCCAGCCTATATACATAGCTTGTTTTGTGCCGAAGGTTTGCACTTTAGTGCTTTTCATTCCTCTTTCAGTTGTCCCATCTTAGGTAATTCGA